GACTTTTCTCTGGTGGGACTCCGTGAACAAGCCCTCCAGGTCCTCCACGAGCCCCCTGCGAAGTGGCACCAGATCCGCGGGCCCTTAGGGGCCACGACGCTCAGCCTGAGCCGTCTGGGGTGGTCCATGCCCGACCCGCTCGTCTTTCGTGACTCGCGAAAACCAAAACTACCCACTCATTACCACCTTCCCTGCCCTCATCAAGAAGCTGTTTCAATCCCAGTGGCAGTTGCGGCTAGACGCGAAGGCGGGGCAGAAGCTCGGTTTCGACGAGCCCCTCGACCCGTCGGTCATGCAGTGCGCGCTGCAGGACAGTACAGTTCAGGCCTACAACAGGAAGACGCTGCTTTCATATGGCTGCCAGTGCATATGGACCAAAGAAAAGATGGCCGAGGCAGGCTATCAGAATGAAGTCGAATGCGAGCTGTGTAAGGGCCCTGTGGACCCCATCCCCCACAGGCTCCTCGAAATGTTAAGTGAAGCAGATATCGAGGAGTTCAGTGACCCGAGGAGAGGATTTCCATATGTGTTAGGATTTCAACTTCGACCTGAACCCATTGCTCTGAGGCCCCCTGATTTAGGACTAGATCAGGCTGTATATTGGTCTAGAGATGGGCTGCCCAAGGAGATGGCCATGCAAGGTGAAGTTTCCCATGGTGGCAGCGTTTTGAAACCAGGGCCCGCGGTGCACGACGCCCCCGCCTGGTCCGTGGTCAATATCGACGAGGCCGGCGACCTGGTTGCCAGTCTCTCAGGCCCTGTGGGGGCCAGCCTTCCCCCCACGTCGCCCGCTGCCGAACACCTGGGGTTTCTAGTTGCTACGTCCTGCCCCAGAGTCACCAAAGCGTGCACGCATTTCAAGGGCATCCTTACGGTGCACCAGAGCGCCGAAGTCTCACGTAAGGAAATGTACTCAGGACTTTCAGTTCTGGCCAGGTCCCAGAGCTGTTTTGCGCCCCTCGAGATCGGGAAAGTCAAGACCCGCCAGGATCTGTCTTCCCTGGAGGTCGGCTCGAGGGACTGGTTTGTTGCTAAAGGAAATGACTGGGCGGACAAGGTAGCCAAACAAGCGGCCGCCAGAACCCCCGCCCCGTCCCAGAGTGAAATCGAGCATTATACAGAATGTCGCAGCCGAGTTCAGAGGCTGGCGAAGTATGCTGCAGAGGCGCTTTCCTTGTGGGCCCCACTCGCTCCGAAGCCGGGCAAGAAGGCCTATGAGAAGCCCGCCCAGAGTCTCAATTCCCCAGTCGGGGCAGCGGGAGCAGTCAGCCAGTGGACTGCGCCACCCCCGCCCCCTGGGGGTCGTCCTCGGCGTGCTCGTGCGTGCCGTAACCCCCAGGGCGTGGCCAGACATCAGTGGGCATGGCTAAATAGTCATTGGCTGCGCCTCGCGTGTCACACCCGCGCCCGCACGGACAGCACTCGCAAGACCCGCATGCGGGAAGCATGCCCAGGTAATTCAGTCACGTTGTCAAAGTTAATTAGGGACCCCCAGAAGCACCATTTTATGATTTGTGATTACCTTGATGTAGAGTCCTTCCTTGTCGTTTGTAAGAGGTGCGGCCGCTACAGCGAAAGCAACCTCAAAGGACTCAAAGGTGAATGTAAGGAGCGCTTCCAAAGCAAATTCTCCCAAGGTGCGTGGTCCCTCCTGGCAAGCGGCCGTCATCCCAAGAGTAGCATGAAGGCCCGTCCCCGACTTTCCCTGCCCATCCCTGCGGCCCAGCTCCTCAAGGAAGGAGGGGCGACGCAGTGACGAAAGCAAGCGTAAGGGGAGAGCGGATGTAACGCTGAGGTTTCGGTTAGGGTCGGGTCGGCCTAACCCTAGCCTCCCCCATTAGCATGTGGCGGTCCTCCTGCTCCTCCTGCTCCTGCTCCGCCTCCTCCTTCTCCCGCTCCTCCTCCTCCTCCTGCTGTTCCTCCTCCTCCTCGTATTCTTCCTGCTCCTCCTCCTCCTCCTGCTCCTCCTCCTCCTCCCCCTCCTCCTCCTCCTCCTCCTCCTCCTCCTCCCCCTCCTCCTCCGCCTCCTACTCTTCCTCCTGCTCCTCCTCCTCCTCCTCCTGCTCCCCTCCTTTTCCTCCTCCCTCCGCCTCCTCTTGCTCCTCATCTTCTCCTCCTGCGCCTCTCCTCCTCCTGCTCTCCTCCTCCTCCTCCTCCTCTCCTTCCTCCTGCTCCTCCTCCTCCTCCTGCTCCTCCTCCTCCTCCTGCTCCTCCCCTCCTTCTCTTCCCTGCTCCTCCTCCTCCTCCTCCTCCTCCTCTTCCTCCTCCTGGTCCTCCTTCTCTTCCTGCTCCTCCTCCTGCTCCTCCTCCTCCTGCTCCTCCTGCTCTCCCTCCTCCTCGTCCTTGTCCTCCAAGAGACCTCCAAGAGGCATCCAAAAGGCCTCCAAGAGGCGCCCAGACAGCCCCAAGAGGCCTCCAAGAGGCTGCCAAGAGACCTCATACGAGGCCACTAGAGGATCCCAGAGGTACACGACTCTCCCTCCATCTTCTCCTCCACCTC